TGAATGGTCACGGTCACGATGGGATGAATGGTTACAATCAACTTTACACTTCATTGAAAGGTGGCATCTTGGCGAGGCAGCTTAGTCATCTGAGACCGATTTCATGAATACTTCTGCTGAGTGACTGTACAAGCTAATAGCATCTCACATCAGGGTTCATAGGATTTTCTATCTTTTTATCATGATGATCAAATTTTTACTCAATTATAGCGGCAAGCTAAGTTGCGCCAAGCCTCGCTGTGGGTCTCCCCTCACTGAGCCATCAGGTACTTTATCATAGATGGGAAGAGATTTGGTTGTATATGGGGGTCATAATTTCTCACTCAGGTTTTGGTGGAAGGGCTGCGCACTTCTTAGGGAACTTGCCACTACAGTAATGGTCTTCCACCACCAGAATGATGCCGCTAGCCAGATAGACTAGCTTGAGCCAATTAGGTGTGAACTGACTAGGTTTGTTTTGTTGTGAGCTTGTTTGGTTCATGAATCAGTGTGAAGTTGAGGGTGTAAGCAATGTATCATAAGCGAAGCACATCTTTTGGCTCTGAACGATATAAATTTATCAAGTGGGCTGATAAAGGCTGAATAGGTCTTGTAGAATACAGTAAAAAGGACACAACTGAATGGAAACTAAGGAGAAATAAAAGCAAGACATCTAGACTAGGACGGTTACATACATCCATCCACATCACTTGTAGTGGCCTGGTAGGTATAATATCCCTTGGGTGGTCTGAGACAGTCAAAAATCGCCAATGGGCGCTAAATTAAGAGTGGAAGCTTAGCACTTAGAAATCAGGTAAGCAATATCAAATGATCATAGGCGCACTCTATCAAATACCAGTAACTCGATCTTGATAGATTGAAAACAACTTTAGATAAAAAGAAAAACTATTATGATGAACTTGAAAGTCCAGCATGCCAGTTGTGATAACATTCTTTACAAAGAGCAAAGCCACAGCCAGGACCTAGGCATCCATACAAGGTGCACCGGGGTATTTTACCTTTCCAAATTATACTGCATAGTATAAATTGACATTGTACACAACCAACAGGTGAGTCTCGCATGCAGGTAAAGCAATGATCTACCGGGGAGCCGGTGGGAGGAGGAAGCTTAGTTCTTTGCTGTTGCTTACTGTATTGAGGGGTACTGGTCTTTGGAGTGTAATAGGCTTTTCTAGGCTTTCAGGTAACCTGACTGGAAGCATATTTCACAACTAGCGATTCCGCCAAGGTAAGACAAAAGGTACAAGAGCATCCCTGATAGTCGGAGAAGCAAGAGAGTTACCGGGCCACGAGGTAGGAGTTAATAACCGTAGTGTCGAGTAGCCAATAAAAGATCAGGGGCCAGTTTCGGAGACATTTCAACTGGGTAAAGTAATAGCTGCGGTACTGGTCGGCCATATCCACTCCAACCTTATACTGGTTATAATTGTTTGTGATTACTGGGATCGGAACCTTGGCTCTTTCGTGAACACCAAATACCCGCCAAATTGCAGGACCATTGCTACTACTAAGAGGTGGCTTTTTGCGCTCAGAGATGACTCTATCCTCAAGGTTATGGATAGTAGAGAGAAAGTGTACAGCACTGTTGTCTTGCTATTAAACTGCCAGAACAGTACCATTTGGGCAGGCCGAACCTCCAAAAACCTCATTCCATAGTATGTTGGGGCATTTATTGTCCAGGTGGGTGTAACTGGTATGGGTACTCGGTTATTGGTTTTGTTTTATGTTTTGTTTTAAGTATCACTTTGATACTTGGTTTTGTTTTATGTTTTACTTTAAGTATCGCTTTGATACTTAATTTTGTTTTATGTTTTGTTTTAAGTATCGCTTTGATACTTGGTTTGTTTTAAGTATCGTTTGATACTTGGTTTTATTTTATGTTTTGTTTTAAGTATCACTTTGATACTTGATTTGTTTTAAGTATCGTTTGATACTTGGTTCTGTTTTATGTTTTGTTTTAAGTATCGTTTTGATACTTAAGTAGTTTCACCAAAGTGTATCGATTGATACCTTTGATTGGTTTTGTTTATGCTAGACATGAACAGATTTGTGTATTTAAAGACTGCCTGTTTCTACGATAGAAAAGGCAGACTTCGACATACAGTATTTCAATATACTTGGTTGAACAGTTACTTCTTTGTTCCTCAGTACACTCTCGAAGCCTCCTTTAGTTCTCAGCTCTCGCCTCCTCTCTGGAAGAGCAGGCCACCTGCCAACTATCGTATCTATTACCAATAACGTGATTAGCACCTTGTGAACACGTTACAGTGGGGGGGATATGCTTTCTGGTTCACTCGTGCAGTTCTACAGACACCTAATCCTACCTCCCATAGCCTCTCTAACAGGGCAGTAGATGGGAAATAGTTATCCATATATATGTTGAAGTGAAGGCCGGAGGTATACGGTAAGGCTGCTGCTAGCTGAAATACTGCTGACCCAGTAGGAGTAAGCCCTTCCTGAGGAATGAGCTCAGCAAATGATTCAGACCGGGAAGCGAATATTCAGTTATAGGTGTAGCCTAGATCACACAGTGCGAACACCTTATAACCTTCCTTAATCGGCTTACTCAGTATTCGACAAGTGTGATGGCTACGACCACCCAAGCGTATCATCATCTCATCTACCGTGACATTGGAGGAAGGAAGATAGTATTGCTGGCATCTCTTCTGAATTAGGCTATTTAATAGCTCTAATTTGTGATGCCAATGGGATCGAGACAAGGTTTCCTTTGGATCTGAGATATGGAGATAGCGTTTTATCTGACTAAAGCGCTTGAGTGACATCGTTCGAAAAATCGAATCTCCTCCCCTATACCTCTAAAACCCCTGACTTTCCATACCCCTACGGGCCCCCATATAGATTAAGAGTACATGTAACGTGTTCGCAAGGTGCTAATCACGTTAACGATAATAGATATGATAGTTGGTAGGTGGCCTGCTCTTCCAGAGAGGAGGCGAGAGCTAAGAACTAAAGGAGGCTTCGAGGGTGTACTGAGGAACAAAGAAGTAACCATTCAACCAAGTATATTGAAATACTGTCTGTCGAAGTCTGCCTTTTCTATCATAGAAACAGGCGGTCTTTAAATACACAAATCTGTTCATATCTAGCATGAACGAAACTAATCAAAGGTATCAATTGATACTCTTTGGTAAAACTCCTTAAGTATCAAAGCGATACTTAAAACAAAACATAAAACAAAACCAAGTATCAAACAATACTTAAAACAAACCAAGTATCAAAGCGATACTTAAAACCAAACACAAAACAAAACCAAGTGTCAAACGATACTTAAAACAAACCAAGTATCAAAGCGATACTTAAAACAAACCAAGTATCAAAGCGATACTTAAAACAAAACACAAAACAAAACCAATAACCGAGTACCCGTACCGGTTACAGTGCAAGGAATACTCTTATCTCATTTCTGGTAACTCTTTTCCATCGCCATTGGGTTTCTGCTCCTGCTTCTTTCTCTTCTGCATACGTATTGGTTCCGACCACAAGCAGTTCAATGGCCTCCGCATCCCAAAATAGCTCAAAGATTTGAACTACTGTGATATCAGAACCTTCCCAGGGTAACAGTGGCTCACCCTTGTGGTCTATTTGGGGACCAAGAGGGGTGTAGGGGGTGTGAGCAATTTGTTCATTTATACTTGGCTTGCTCGCTGCACTCTGCTTCTTTATCGGTTTCTTTGGTATACTCGACTTCTTTGGCAATTGGGAATTGGCAGAACTGGGCGTTAAAGGTGCTCATACTTGCTTTGTGTTCGGCATCGTATATGTATCTCAAGACCGGCCACAAGAGTTGAGGTTGTTGTACAACCACACTGTTGCACCCATTCTAGAAAAGCGTCATCCCTACTAGGAAATGATGTGCCTTTGACGATTTTTGACTGTCTCAGACCGCCCAAGGGATAGTGGGTAGGGTATCGCACTAGTATATAGGCTAGGCTAGGCTAGGCCGGGCCAGTTCATATAGGCCGGGCTAGGACGGACTTATCGGGCACTGGTACTAAGCCTGTACTCGTAGAGCGCATACAGCTTATATAACATTCGGGGCCCCGCCTGCCCCTCTCTGGTGTGGCCTGGCCTAACTAGCCCACTGGGAACAACAACTGCTCCCAGTGCTCGAGCACATTCCGACTGATCAACTTCCTGACCAAACATCCTATACAGTCCACGTGACCGGCCATCTATCAAGGCCACCAACTCCCCACTCCTCCGAATCAATGATTGGAGTATTATCGAGTTCAGCAATCTGGAAGACAAAATGATAGAGCCAACCGGGAGTGGGTGCCTCGAGCCCGGAAAGAAATAGTAGGAACGATAAAGTCAAATTGATGAATGATAGAGAGTAATAACCCACCAGGGAATTCCGTTAATGGTTCTTCTTGCCTTTCTTTTTTTTGGTATTTCACTAATCTCACCACCCCCCTCACGAATAAGCCGTATGGCAGCATGTTAAGTGTCAGGGTTATTTCCAGAATGATACCTCCGGAAAATACGGTACCGGGATATGAGATGCGTACGAACGATTGATCAGGCATTGTATAAATATATGCAGAGAAGCAAACGACTCTCGAGGAGGGAGAAATGAAAGGAAAACCCTACCGATCATCCACCCCCCCCGTTCTTCAATTATTGTTATTATTGTTCTTTATTTAACTTTCGGACACTTTGTTCTTATTTTTCTCACCATTCACTCTTCCCCCTCCCTTCACAGACTTGGCGTGTGGCCTATTTGACGGCTCTTCCTACCTATATTGTGGCTTGTATGTCTCGGCCGGACACGCCGAAAATTAAGTGCAGTATGGCACAAGAGGGAAGACTTTCATTATTTCTCTAGCGGGAAAGTCTGCATGAGTGATCTAATATGATGTGACCTGTTCAGAACCCTCAACGGGGCATTGAAGGAATTTCTACTATAGGACAAACATCTAATTAAACTTCTAGTATCGCAACCCCACCTGCTTCTATTTTTCAAGGCTATCCACGCTCACCTAGACATCCTCCCCCTCCTCCACATCCCTAACCAATAGCTCCTTCTCAGCTAGATACTTCTTCACCTGTCGGACCGTATACTCCCTCCGATGAAACTACTACTTATTAGCACACACACACACACACTCGTCATAAGGGAAAACAGTAAAAGAGAAAATAACCTACCATGCCCGCCCCTAACGCAGCATCACTCCCCGTTTTTTCAAAGACCTCGACAAAATGCTCCGGCACTCCAGCCCCACTACTCGCGATGACCGGAATACAAATAGCGCTCTTAACCGCATCAATCAACTCGAGATCGAACCCAGAATTCGACCCGTCCTTGTCGATGCAGTTGAGCAATATCTCACCTGCGCCCATTGCCTCGACCGCTTTCACGAGCTGATGGACGTCCATGTCGCGGCCCTCACGGCCACCCTTGATGGTGCATTGGTACCAGCAATATCCCTCCCCCTGGGGACCCGGGTAAGCGGTTTTGATGGTTGTGTGCGAGGTGGCGGATGGGGAAGCGACGTATACCCGTTTTGGATCTACCGAGACCACAACAGCTTGGTTCCCGTAGGCTTTTGATATTGTTTCTATGGCAGTTTTACCGCTGAGGGACTCGCCGGACGCATAGTACTCTTCGGCGGCGGTGACGGCGTCGGTTCCTATGGAGACCTTATCTGCGCCGCTCTTGAAGTATAATGTCGCCACCTCGAGCGCAGGATGGACAGTCCCATCCGGGTCAATTACGTCCTTAATCCCCCCACCAATGGTCAAAGGTACGAACACGGTTTTACTCGTCTCGCGGAGGATTTCAAGCATGGGTAGATCCGCCAACGGGCAATTCCGGAAACTCGTAATATTCAGGAAAGTGATCTCATCGGCGCCGTCTTCAAAGTAGCGTTTCGCAAGCTCAACGGGTTTCCCTAGATTTCGCACCCGACTTGTGCCCTCGGCGGACTCCTCGCGGACATCGTATTGGTCGCCCTTGGTGACAACTAGATCACCCTGATCGTTCGTACGAACGTCAAGGCAGGCAATTATCCGTCTTGTTAGCCCTCCCAACCTCGGCCCCTCGGCAGGCTCTGCTGCTCGAGCACCAGATAAGGGTGAGAGGCAAATGCCGTTCAAGAAAGCTTTAAGAACGCGCAATCCCGCTGCCCCGCTCTTCTCCGGGTGAAACTGCGTAGCAAAGACATTCCCCTTGCCGATCGCTCCGACAAACTCTTCCTCGCCATATACTCCTGTTGCAACTTCCCACCCGTCCGCCATGACACCATCGTCCACCGGCGCAGCGTAGGAATGGACATAGTAGTACTTACTATGTGGACGCAGCCCATAAAATGACCTTTCTATGCCCTCTTTCGTAGCGGCAGAATTCCACCCAATGTGCGGAACGGACTTAGTGGTTAGGTCGAAGAGCTTCAGTGTCCCCGGAATTATTCCGAGGCCGGGGGTCGAAGGGGATTCTTCGGACGCGGTGAAGAGCGCTTGCAATCCTACGCAGATGCCCATGAAGGGCTTGCCGCTATTTATGAAGGACTTCAGGGGCTCAATGTATCCGGCTTTGGAAAGGGTTTGCATGCAGTGGCCGAAGTGGCCGACGCCTGGGAAGATGACGCGCTGAGAACAATTAGTCGGAGAAAACTGATCGGAAGCAGGGAAAGTGAGGGATACTTCGGCGGTCGCAAGATCATCTGGTGACTTAATCCATTCAATCTCAAAGCCGACTCTCTCAATCGCATTCACGAGGGAACGGATGTTTCCTCTAGGGTGTATGTCCTTTTTAGTTTTTTCATTGGGGGCTCGCAGCCAGGAATTGACAATTAAGAGTTAAAGGACTTACGATACTGTATCCAGTAGGTGAACCTTTGGCATTTTTAAAGCTTACCTGAGGTTTGTTGGTTGTGGGTGTGTGTGTGGTTGGTGTGCTTAGGACTAAATTATAAAGTTTATCGCAAAACATGGTGGGGATGTGTCAGCTGCCCCACCAGCCCCACTTTTTGCCAAGACTCAAGATTGAGTTCGTCCACGCGAAAGAAGACTTGTTTGAGCCACATTACAAGTATTGCACTCGAGCGTAATTTATTGCACTTCGGCATATCTACATATGATACAGGTTGTTTTTGTGGCTGCCATGGTTCAGCTTAAGTTCATCGTTACTATCCCCAGTACCCGTAGGGTTATGAGTGAACTCACTCGAATATATGATACCCTCAATCACCGCTTCCAAACACCCAACCTAAACGCATAATAATCCCTCTTTGGCCTATTCATCAATCAGCACCCACAGTTTCCAGATATGTTGGTACCAAACATACAGGGTATAATTTTCGAAGTTCGACCCCACCAGCTTCAAGAACTATCGCACTCTATCCTCCGGTAAGAATCTGCTTCATCAAGCGATAGAACTCTCATACCTCAGTATCCATACTATACCCCTGACTATAAACCACTTCCGTAATGCCCACCTGCACAATTTTAATACTACAAGTCAAGCACGGACACCTATGCCCAACCTCACGAATCAGTAAAAAATCGAAAAAAAACCCACCATTCCAACAACAGTGGGCACAGACGTATCACAGTATAGTGTTGCCCCGTCTCCGACCCTCTCTCGACCTGCTTCTAATAACGCATTCTCCTCGGCATGGATACAAAGGCAAGTCATGAGCCCAACCCCCCCCTCAGTTCCGTTATTACACCTCTTGCATCCGCCCTCATTGCAATTCACCAGATTTCTCGGCGTGCCATTATAACCTGTCGATATCACGCGCTTCCCCCGGACGAGCACGCACCCAACGCGGCGCTTCATGCAATTACTCCGGCACGCGGCGAGGGAAGCAAGTTGTATGAAGTAAGCGTCCCAGCTTGGCCGTAGGCGGGATTCGTCCTCGAGTTTTAGGGCGTCGAGGTTCTGGTGTAGGCTTTCGAGAGAGTTCGAAGCGTTTAGGAGGCGGAGCGTAGACTTTTGGACGAGGTGTGATATACCGTGGTCCGGATGGTACATGTTTGTGTCGCACTCCTGAACGAAGTACTCGAGTGACCGTTCCGGGGATGAACTATCAACCCTTCCCCCAACACGATCAGCCCGACCTCCCTGGCACGGATGAACATTATATGGCAAACCTCTTTTGATATCGCTGCCAACGAACTAATGTCGGTGCGTCCACGCTCAATAGTAAGAAGAATGGCCGGCGTAAGAATGTCTCTAGAACCTTGAGCTCTACCGAACCCATTCCCAACATAACGAACCGTTTAGACCAGTTTTGTGTTATATAAGATAGTAGGCTCTTGGACGAGGGGTAGCTTTTCTCCCCATCGGTCCATGATGCGCAGCTGCCGCTGCTATCGCTGTCGCTGGTCTCCTCCATCCGAATCAGGGTGAAGCCATGTTTTGCCTCTAGGTATTTCGCTACTTCGGTTTTCCCAGCGCAGAGACCTATTGGAATATTAGTTTATATATCCCTACAGAATCTAGGGTATTAATACGCACTGCCGCAGATTCCAATCAGCATTGTAGTAATTTTCTAAGGTGGTATCACCGTGGTGAAATGTGGTATTGGGTCGAACTTTAGGAAGAACAGATAAGTCCATTCTGCGGCTCAAAAAACCCCACACCAGCAGGGTCCCAACCATGGCATTGTACCGGTACTATACCCGACTAGAACTAGGGCATTGTAATCCCAGGAACCCACAAGCAAACAGTAGTGAGTGACAATGATAAATGGAGCAAGTTAAGCAATTTGAGTCTTAGTAAAATTTTCAAGCCTCACTATACAAGCAGATATATATAAAAAATGACCTATCATACCTGGTTTAATAGAACAATTGTTCTAAAAACTCAATGCATGTATTTCTTAAAAATAATTAAAATGATTATAAATAAACAAGAATTTTCTATAATAGAGTATCCTATTAGGATAGTTACTACTTGAGTATTATTCTCACAATATTTAAACTTGAAGATTCTCAAGTATGAAGAGCTTTCAAAAACCCAGTCTACTAATACTCTCTCATTAAGATCTCAAATTAAATCTTTACACGCTATAATAATTATTACTAAGTTGAAAATTTTACATATTACTACTAGGTATTCATTTTCTCCCCCTATTGAGTATTTTGAATATATGTCCAACTAAGTATAATACTTTTTATCAAATTTAAAGCAGTAGACCTTCTATCTTATTATCAAAAAGGTATTACTTCTTAGTCTATAGTATCATACTATATTATATCAAAAAAATTAGATATGATTTCCATATTAACAAGTACTTTCTATATCTGTTTTTTATCAGTTATTCTTATTGTCACAAATGTGACAGGATTTTGCACATGACTCAATTACAAGTCATGGCTATTGCACATATAACTCACTCGAGTCATTTGATTTGTTTATATTATAATTTATTATGTTTCGTACATGACTCAATTATGAGTTATGGGTTTTACACATATGACTTGTTTATATTATTATTTGTTATATTTCACACATGACACGATTATGAGTCATGAGTTTTACGCATATGACTCACTCAAGTCATATGACTTATTTATGAGGATTTCACATGACTCATAGCTATGAGTCATCAGGATTAGACTTGGTAAGAAGAGCACTATATAAGGAGGCCAATACAGGCAAGGAGGATAAGCTCTTCATACTTTGTTCTAAGTAATTTCCTCACTTATTACATTATACGAATAAAACATTTTTACGCTCTTTATTCCTTACATTTCTCACGAGCCTAAGGGCAATATCTCTATACGTTATGACGATAGGCATTACTCAAATGAGTATTGGTAATGTAGACTAAAAGGGCCTAAGAACTATCAAAGGAAGAAGATATATATATATATATATATATCAAGAAAAGGTATTGTTGCCCATCACTATATTTTAACAGAAACTTAGAAATATTACACTTATATTATAAGTATTAAGTTTTTCCTCATAATTCAATAAAATAATATTATATTATCAAAAGTTACACTTCTATTGACAAGGAAGGTAGAAAACTGAAATAATATTAGTTAGAAATCTTTAATGTGAGCTGAATTTTAGGTATAATATAATAGTATCAAAATAACTCAAACTTTTATAAAAGGATATTTTGAGAATTGTTTTTCCATAAAATTTCACTATTTTAAAATACTAATAATCTGAAAAGTATTTATACAGATATCAAAAAACTAACAGTAGTTTGAAATAATAATCAATAAAGTAAATCTGTTGGTAATACCACATATTGTATTCATAATTATTATCTCTTCTTACCTTTATTATTTTTGGTATTACTTAATCTTAAAACTGGATTATTTCTACCTTTAACCGGAGAATGCTTCTACATACAGCTCCTCATTTATCACACTTGTATGATATTACAGGATAACAGTAGACTTAAAATGGAATGCAGAATTGTTAAAAATCTGTATTCTTAGACTGTAGTACCATTTCTATAATATAGGGTTGAATTGAGTATTACATGATGCATGCAACAAACAGTGTATGTTTTAACTGCAAAGTATGATATCATAAAATGGAAACACAGGTGTCCATCCAGGAAAGCCTATAAACAAAAATCCCCTCTCCCACAGTACACCCTCTTCCCATCCATCTTTCGGCCCGTGGTGTTAGAGCGGAGAATTATATCTATCTATTATCGTGGTCCTTTATTGAGTTTCGGGAATAGCACTTCTTTTTTTTTTTTTTGTGCTGATTCAAGCCTTGTTCTACGAAAGGCTGAGCTTGGTCCGGCTCTGCATTCAATATCCAGGAGCAGACTGGGCTCGTAGCCCTTGCGGATCCCCTGAGCCAATCTACTGGCCCGGCGCAAGACCACCAGCAGGCGGAGCCCACGCAAAACACTCCAATACCGGAAATACAGAAGAATAATAGTACGGTGCTCCCCACCAGCATCCCAGAAGACGTTATTCTGCGACTTCTACATTACTACTTACACTCAGAGCGAGCAGAGTTCAATCTCCCTTGGCATCTCGAGCTGTCTTCGCTTGTCTAGTCGCCATACAATACGTCACCTTTCCATCTCTCTCCATACCATTAGTAAGATATCATAGAACATCACTCGCGCTACTGAGCGGCAACTCCCAAATCTCCACGGAACTTTTATTGTATGATACTAATAACATGCAACTCACCCCTTGCAATCCCGCTCCGCTAATTTAGCTAGGCAAAAAAAGCTACAAGTAATACCCTAGATAGCATACACACCCTCCTTTCCTTCAACAATAACTCTCATACATCCAACAGCACTAAATGAAAAATGAAAGAAAAAGCGAAAACATTAACGTTACTAGTATAAATGAAAGAAACCTCCCTCGGCTTTCAGCATTATAGCCATCAAGTAACCTTGCGTATTTAAACTTTATGAACAGATTTTCGACAACCGCCCATACACACATAACAAGGGTACAAAAAATGACTGACTAATGTAACTCTGGAGGTAGGAGAGGGGGAGCGAAGCCAAATTATTCCAGCCGTTCGGGCATGTACCCTTCGACGGAATAGAACAGGACAGTAGTAGTAAACGCGTAAGTGTGTAAGCAATGAATCAATGAACCCCCCCACTGCCACCTCCCGTACGATATGCTACTCAATCAATACCTTTCAGTATTTCTTGCATATGGGTGATAGCCTCCTCCACCACGCGCATACCCACCCGCGCCTCCAACAAACCCCGGCCTATCCGGTCCCGCACCACCAGCACCGACACCGCCAGAACCCGCGGCGACACCACGAACCGAAGCCACACCGCCGCGCCCGCCACCACGATAATTACTTCCGGAGCCCTTCGCGTTACGCGGCCCTGTCGGGGCGTTTGGCGGTGGGCCGTCAAAGCCGTTGCCAGCCCGGCCGACACCTGTTGCTTGGTCAACATCATCCCAGTTGTCATAGTTTGATGGCCACGATTGTTGGAAGGGTTCATTCCTACCGCGTCCTTGTTGCTGTTGTTGCTGTTGCTGCTGCTGCTGGGGCGGGACGTCATCATACATCCCTTCCCAGGAGGAAGGTTGGGTTTGAGGGGGTTGGTAATCGCGCTGAGAGGGGTGGTGTTGAAAGTTACGGTGCCGGTATCCCGTGTTTTGGTCGTTGTAAGAGGATGGGTCGTAGGATTGGACCTGCTGAGATTGCTGCACACCCTGGGTGTGTGGATAGCCGACTGGTTGGTTCGGGGAGCCGTATCCGACCTGCTGTTGGGATTGGGGGCCTTGGGATCCAGCGCCGCCCATCTGGCTTTGCTGAGGTTGTCCCTGCTGTTGCTGGCCCTGTTGCTGCAGTTGCTGCTGAAGTTGTAGCTGCTGCATCTGTTGAAGTTGTTGGAGCATTGCTGGGTTCATAGCGTTCATCGCTCCTCCTCCACGGCCGAGTGCTTGCATGATAGCTGGGTTCATCGCAGGCATAGGCCCACCACCACCACGACCGAATGACTGCATAGCCTGCATATATCTCTGGAAATTCTGATAATACTGAGCCATCATCTGTGGGGAAATCCCGTTGTATATATTCTGCTGGCCAGCAGGGGCGTTTTGATTCTGTGAGCTACCCCCATTGTAGTTGCCATTTCCGTTGTTTCCATTGTCACGGTTCTCGAATCGATCACGACGATCTCCGCGATCCCTAAAGGACCCACCACGATCATCACGTTCATCGAAATGGGCATTCATCCTCTCGCGGATGTTCCCACGCGGCTGAGCTTTCTTAACCTCGATCTACACATTATCAGCAAGAGGAGTCATAATACCAAACCGAGGGCATACTAACAGGTTTATCCAAAATAGCCAACGTGGGGCAATTCAAGGCATTCTCCACCGCACCTTCACTATCAAACGTGACGAAACCAAACCCACGGGGCCTACCAGTGTCCTTGTCCATCATTAAAGTAGCATCCAGAACTCTCCCAAACTGTGTGAAATACTCCCTAAAGTCGGTTTCAGTTGCTTCCTGACTAACGCCACCGACAAATATTTTTGAAGTCTTCTCCTGCTCGTCGCGAGGAATCGCACGCTTAGGGTCGATCTATGCAATAAAAAGAGCCCCGTTGTTAATAACTTATTAAAATATGACAGGTGAAATCAAAGGCAGCGCTCACAATTTTACCATCCAGATAGTGCTCCTTCACCATTACAATGTTGACAGTCTTGGGGTCCTTGAAGGTTAAGAAACCAAATCCTCTGGAACGACCAGTTGGACCATCGCGCATAACGGTACATTCAACCACTTCTCCATACTGACTGAAGTACTCCTTGAGAGATTCTATCGAGCAACGAAAAGTCTTTAGTAAATATATGTATCAACAAACACCAAACTCAGTTGCTTGTGGCAAGAACGATGCAGAAAAGGAGAAGGAAAAAAAGGAATTTCATGTAAGGTAAAAAAGTTTCATTTAATGCCTACCATCAGTCGTTTCCCAATTTAATCCACCTATAAACATTTTCCTATTAAATCACGAGACAAGTCTTAGTCAATCATCCATATCAAATAATACAGCAAGGCAAAAAATCAACGCCAATCAAATGCACGCATTTCTTCTTCTTTCCCACCCCTGATTTTGAAGCGAGAGGATGGTTCCACAACAACGGCCACTACCGAAAAATAAAGGCAGCCACAACGGCGAGGACTGCCTGGCTCATGCGGAGGGAATAGCTTTTGGCGTGAGAGGCAAATATAACGAAGGTCTCTTTTGTCGGGGAGAAGCTTTGACCAAGTAATCTTTCCATTTTCCAATCTTTCATTCCCATTTTCTCTTGCTCTCGTACAGAAACTATCCCGCGTATTTAATGCTGAATGTATCTGCTAGCTAGTTCTCGTATAGGCAGTGGTAGTGATAGTAGTAGGTAGCAGGTAGATGACAAAGCAGGAAGCTCTCCTAATTTCCATGGTCCTCTAGCGATCTTCCATGCCGGGGAAGAAATAGTAACCCTCCGATAGTTGAGGGGAGGAAGCATCCAACGTCCACATATAACTCGAATGCCCTCTCTACCCAGTCTATCTTCATTTCACGACCAGCTTCTCTTTTTTTCCTCCTTAACCTAGTCATCTGCCCTAAACCTGCATACCCTAACTTTATACCCCAAAAGTTCCCTCGAAACTAGCCATGACCATATACTCCATCCTCTCGCTTCATATAATTCTTCAAAGCGCTCGAAAACCCAAGAAAAAGTGTAATTTAAATACGCACCCATCCTCTTTGATAGCTGGACTACCTGTCGCCTGTGGGTCACCATAACCGGCGGCACCCATCCCGTCATAACCACAAGATCCACCATCATTGCTGTGAATCCCATGTCCACCTTGTCCACTATGACCACCAGCTCCTGCACCTCCAGTGGCAGCCGCAGCATCCCATCCACTGTAATTATCCGCATCATCCTCGGCAGCATAAGGATTCTCAATTTTTGTAGATGCATTATGAACATTCACAGAAGGGGGAGGAGCTCTGGGATCAATTGCCCTTTGGGCGGTGACTTGGGGGGCAGCTGGCTCCTGAGGCTGCTGCGCCTGTGAGTAACTCGCCTCAGGGTCCCGCTGCGGCACTACAGCTGGTGCTGCTGCTGCTGGGGTGTTTACTGGAGAAGCGGGTTTGGCCACTTTTACTGGTGCCGGAAGGCTAGTCTTTGGGGGTTCGTCTTCGCCGTACCTTCGAAAATGGTAGTTGTAAGCAGATAACAACGCGATGAAGGAAAGTGGGGGAAATGTTGAAAGAAAATACATACAAATCGGCAAAAAGGTCATCATCCATCAACTCGTCTGCTTCCATTCTGATGAACTGCTGATTAAACCGTAGACAAAAACTAGATAGCAGAAGAAGGATTGCCGATCAAGTTTTACCGTAGTTAGCGTGACCTATTTTCACGCGAAGCGTCGTTTATTCACCAAGAAGGCAAAAGCCTGGTGAAATCGAGTAAACCTATACAATCAAGCGTAACAAGGAGAAACAGAAAGCAGGCCTAAAAATGGGTTCCAACAGGTGGCAAAAGAATTGAATGTGAGTATAAAAGACAAGAGTCCAGTGCGGGGAAGAAAGGAGGGAGGATGTTGAGAAGAGAGAGAGATGTGTGGGAAACAAACGAGGACGAAGAGGATGGGGAGGAGGAAGAAGGAGGGTGGCTATTTCTTTGGTTCAGAGCAGTAGGGGCATCCTTCGGCTTGGCGCGGATTAACCCTCGCTTGAGGCGATGAGGGTCGAGCTGACACGGCAAACCCAAGCAGCAGCAACGAGCGCACAATTTAATTACATTCGCCCAGGCAGCACAAGGAAAACATGATGAGGCTCTGGCCCCAACTTGAGCCTTAACCTACAAGAAAGAATGTCGTGATAATTGACCACGGTATCATAACACGCTTTTTTAATCTGATTTACACCATTACATTCTCTGAACCGATCGTCGTGGACCCGGAGTTCAGGTAAATGTTTTTCTAGGGCCCAGGGTTTTGAAGCTTCACCATGCAATTCCTATCCGAGACATTCTCACTCATCAGTTCTTGGATGTACTCGAGAACTGAGCACGGGTCTACTCTAACCTTGCCAACGGCGGGCAAATGACCACACACCTCCCAATCATTGCAGGTATCGGAAATTTTCAAACCAACCTCACTCTTCTCTTCCCTCCTCCTCCTCCTTTCTTATCCTTTGATCACCGCCTTCCCCATAAACCACAACCAACCTACCGTATACCCTGTACCCTTTTATCTCTCAGACTTAGCTATGCGAGGGAAATGGACCCAGCAGCACAAACAGCAAGAGCCGCAGCAGCAAGTAAGATAGTATCCTTCTTGCCCCTCCTTCTCTCGCTCTTTCACCAAACCATTGCTCCCATGGCTTGCTACTCATACAGACCTTATTTAATAGCCTCAGCTAACATCAGCTCTCTCCTTCTCCTCAGGAAATGGTACAAGTTGGCATGTCATCCATCTCTCCCCATTTATACCATATTCGCATACATATCTTCCTCCAATGATGCGTCTCCACATATGAAACAAACACCCTCAATCATGTTCCCCTTCCGTACGAAACCATGAACCTTCGCGGTAATGCTAATTGCAATCGCTCCTTTCTGTATTTGTAGATCGCTCAGGGTAACTCCACCCTCTCCTCCGCCCATTCTAGCCCCACTTACACTCCCGTCTACCTCATGCCCCACCCCGTGTCCCCACCCCTCATCACCGATATGACCGTATTCTGATTCTTGAAATGCACTAGTTCAGTCTCCCCGTTTTGGAGAGGTCGCTCAAGTAATTCCACCCGGACACAGAGGGAGAGTTCGCAGTTGGTTTCCCGCCCTTTATGCTAACCGTTCAAACCCGAGTGTTTATATCCTAAAACTTACCGGCAACAACCGGCGTAGGACACGAGATCCCTCAAAAATTGTCGGCGCCTCATACTCACACACCGACATGCTAAAGTTCGAATCACTGTATTTCACCTTCTCTTTTATCCAAAGTCTTACCCCACGCAGTCATTGTATCTCACCACTCCCCAGATCCGTTCAACCAAAACCACCAGTTGCTTCCGGAGGCCATACACCTTCCCCCCCTTTACCAAATGGTCCAGTAAAGAACTTCTCCGATTACATGAATCAGACGGATGATGATTGGGATGCGGATGTAGGGGACGAGACACCGGATGACTTTCTACAGAGAAAATTGAAGCCACCGCTATCCATTGAGCATCAACCCGCTGTTGGCTCTAAGCTCGGGGGACCCTCTAGCAGTACAAATCTAGCCTCGAAGGGGCCGTCTTACCCTAGCCCAAGAAGGAAGGACAACCAGGGACTCAAGCCACAGTTCGAAGGCCTGGTCCGAGGTGAGTTCCCATTTCGATGCGCTCGACTTGGCACAACAGTGGAAGCTGACTGCCCGCATATGCAGACCCCGGCAACTCTTTACACATGATCTACCACCCCACACTATCCTTGGACACCCATACGGAGGCCGAGATAGAGCGACTGAATGCTCGTATCAAGCGCATTAACAAATTTAAGCGTATCTTGCAATCGTCGACGGTGGACTTGAACGAGTTAAGGGAGATATCATGGAATGGAATACCAGACGAGCTCCGGCCGATGGCGTGGCAGATGCTGCTGGGATATTTACCCGCAAACAGCGACCGTAGAGTCAGCACGTTGGAACGTAAGAGGAAGGAGTTCATAGACGGTGTGAAGCAAGCTTTCGTCCGAGGTACTAGCGGATTAGATCAGACGATATGGCACCAGATATCCATCGACGTACCTAGGACTAACCCGCATCTTCCACTATATGGATTCGAGACGACGCAGCGCTGCTTGGAGCGGATATTGTATGTTTGGGCGATACGACATCCAGCGAGCGGATATGTGCAGGGAATCAACGATCTTGTGACGCCTTTCTTTCAAGTTTTTTTGTCGGCATATATAGGTGTGCCTCTCAGCCGGGCATAGTAAACACATTTGGCTGATTCGTTATAGATGGTGAGGTGGAAACCTTCGATCCAAGTTCTTTGCCAAAAGAGGTTCTAGATGTGATTGAAGCAGATTCTTTCTGGTGTTTGACAAAATTGCTCGATGGCATACAGGACAATTACATTCACACCCAGCCCGGGATTCAACGACAAGTCACAGCCTTGAGAGATCTGGTGCAGAGAATAGACGTGGGCTTAACCAAACATCTCAGCGAGCAGGGAGTCGAGTTTATTCAGTTCAGTTTCCGCTGGATGAATTGCATGTTAATGCGGGAGGTCAGTGTGAAGAACACAATACGGATGTGGGATACATATATGGTGGGTTTCTTTAATTCATGTTTCTTCGCAAAATACTCAACACTTATGACCCCCCCCCCCAGGCGGAAGGACAATCTGGGTTTTCGGAGTTTCACCTCTATGTTTGCGCAGCATTTCTGGTCAAATGGTCGGAACAGCTTCAGAAGATGGATTTTCAGGTAATCCCATCTAGCGGGTTCAAATAGCAAGCCAATCAGATGCTGACGGTAGTAGAACGTAATGATGTTCCTCCAATCTCTCCCAACACAATCCTGGGGCGAGAAGGAAATGGAAATCCTCCTCAGCGAAGCGTACTTCTCTTCCCTACCCTCCCCACAAGTAGAGTCCACGGCTAATAGAACGCAGCTTCCTCTGGCAATCCCTCTTCCGAAACTCCAGCGCCCACCTTCGCCAGCCAACTTCAAATGCATCTCTCCCAAGCATAACCTTATGATATACCCATGCACCTATCTTTCTTTACCACGCCCATAAGAAAGGAAACCCCACCCCTTCTAATTCCCACATGTACAATATTAGCAAAAACGAAAATACAATCAAACTAACCTCTCACCCCTCCCTACCCTCGTAAACCCTTCCCGCCTCAACCCATTAACTCTAACCGCTACTCTAATACCCTCCCCTTTGACCTCCTCCCCTCCCCTCCCTACTCTCCCGCATATGCATCAAATATTCGGGGTGCTTATGCGTAGCGGGCATGAACCCTAGCGCGATAGCGCGACGAATAGCCTTCGCCATCCTCCGTTGGTTAACAGGCCTCAGGCCTGTCTCACTGGAATGCTTAATCCTCCCCATCTCAGTGACGTATTCACTCAACATACAAAAATTCTAACCCCCTCTCGTTCCATCAGCCCCGCTCGCGCAGCAAGCCTATACAGACATAAAGTGAGAAAGCATACCTTATACTCCTTAACCGGATTAATCCCCACCAAATCACACACGTCGAAGCGTGGGCTGCGCCGGGTGCGCCGCGAGCGTTGCTGCGCATGCGAGAGGTCGTGCGGGGCATATATATCGCCCGGGAGGAAGCGGGATTGTAGTTTTTGCAGGTCTTGGTCGGATATGTAGTCTTCTGGTAGGCTGGCTGGGGCGAGGTTTGAGAGGGAGGCGGTGAGTTTTTGGGTCAGGTCTTTGGGGGCGGGGGTGGTAGAGGGGGGGTTGGAAGGGGGAGGGATATCGTTTTGGAGGTGGGGGGCTGCGGTGAAGCATCTTTTGGCTGTCCTCGCCAGAGGAGGAGGGCGGAGGAGGGAGAGGCGAGGGAGGAAGGAGAGTGTGAGACGGGAGGACATTTCGTCTTTGCCAATTGTTTGTATTGACTGGTGTTTAGCAGGGTAGTGGTGGTGGTATGATAGCTGGTGAAGGTGGTTTGATTTTGATCCCTTCGCTTGCCGGGATATATTTCAGCGGGCTTCAACGTGTGGCTCTTTTCTCTCGCTGCGTGTATGACCAATCGAATTGTGGCGCTGCAGTTGTGGCGGTGGGCTCTGCCTTGTCGGAGCCCCCACCGAATCCCGGGCCAACCACAACCCGGCTGGGGGGGCTCCTCGGCAAAGGAGCGCAAGTACGATACGATACAGTACGATATCATACAGCGGGAGTATCATACTATACGTAGACCATAATTATTATATGATACCCTTGGGTTCACAAACACAAATATAAAACCGTGTACCAACCGCTGCCTTTCCCTATCATAGTATCCTCAATACCATAGTCTACCCACTTGAGTACAATACATGAGAGCCCGCTCTCGTGCCACTTCACAAGCGCAAAGTACCCGTACAGTACCCACAGAATGGAACCGAATCCGAGTGATATTTTATGATTGGTCCGATGAGAAAATATGATAGTAGAAACAATATTACCGGTATGTATTGTACTGTACGATACGAGTAGTGTCTTGGACGCCTCTTTGGGGCGCTTTCGGGACTCCTTTCGTTTAGCCTCTCTTGAGTAAATCGCCACTTTCTCCATTGGGGCACGTTGCGAGTATGTATTGCTAGCGGCGGACCACCGTGGTCAGGGCATGCAATCTCTCCCCCGCAACTCCTCTGACGTTTGCGAAAGCTATCGTTGCTATGATATACGTAGCTTCCGGGGCTCTGGTCGATTTCTGGCTGGTGTTTTTCAGCAAGCAAGGGGGGGCCAAGTTGCGAACATAAACCAGCTTTTTTTTGGTCTGAAGCTGCTGTGATTAATCTGGGGAAAAACATCATAACCGTGCTACTCGTACTGCGCGGGCTAGGGGGCAGAAGGAACCCAAGTAGCGTAATTGGCACAACAACCTGGGTTTCCATGAGGCAAAATGGGAGCTTCGCCGACCACCAACTGCGTACATACGAGTACTTGGCGGTACAGATTTTACGGTATTCTGAGCACTTCACTTCTTGCGAACATGGTTCAAGTTTTCCCCTATCACGATCACTCAGATGGGCAAGTGTTGCAAGTTAGGGACTGGAATGTCTCAACAGTGTGGGATACCGTACCACGGTACTCGAGTACTGTACCGGTAGGGTCGCAGCCATATCTTAGCAGCTTTACGGTAGGTTCGCAGCCAGTAACTGTCACCACTGTATCAGATCAACCAAGCAGTTTTGGTATAAAAAAAAATCACCTCCCGAGGTAAAATTTCTCCCCAGAGAGATGATAGGAGTACTGGTACTCGAGTTTCTCGTATGTCGGTGTCTTGGCATTGATCATAAGTATCCTACGGTATCATCCATGAGCTTACTGTATTTTCCTACCAGTATTAAAAAATATATATATATTTCCAAGTTACGGCTCCCCCTACTCCTTACAAATCAGACTTATGTCCGGGCATGTTTGAGAAACCGAGAAATTTCAACTCAGAATCCCGATTCGAGTAACCTGGTATGACATCATGACTGCAAACGTCAAACATGGCAGGTTACACTCAACTCCCAACCACGAGCGCCATGCCACCACCCGCCTTCAACGAGCAAAGCAGCACCCAGACTATCGGGAACTTGCTTCCTCACTGCATCGCAGCATAACTTAATCTACTTGTAGACTATGATACCATGGGCAGAGATCCAATTCGCATGTGGGACCGGACCCTGGAGTGGTGGGGCCGGCGCGGGGTTTGGGAAATATTGGGAAGTGTGGCTTGTGCGGTGGGAAACCCAAGCGTTCCCAGCAACTATAGTAGACTACCACGCCGGCACTAATATCGTACTACAAAGACCCTTCTACTCGTAAAGGGCAGGGCAATATCCTGTCCCTCTCTGTGTTTAGTTGCCGGAATATCATGCTGGAAAGTAAAACCTGAGCAAATATTCTTCCAGTATTCTTGAAAGTGCTCTTGAAGAAGTATAATAAAAAGATTTTTGGTGTTTAATGATCGGATACCAGACCATCTTATCCCTAAGACTTATTTAATCTACGTACAGTACTTTACCCTTCAGGGTCGGTTCCGCATTGAAGGTGTTTACGTCAGCAACGCAGCCTACAAACGGTATGCTTCTGTTGTTCATCAGTGCGCTATATCTTACACCTGCTAAACGTTCTTTTGGTGCGAAGCATTTTATTGGTATCGGTAAGTGTAATGTCTCTATCGTAATCTACGATAATATTCCGTTATGCCTTTCTTCGTCACTGAGGGCGACCGATAATGCAATGCAGCAGTGTTTGCTAGCGACGAGAAAGGTGAGTGATAACACATGTCGCTACCGTAACATTACCACTCGTCCGGCACTTTGCAGCACAAGTACAAGAGGAGCAGAAATAAGTAAGTAACAATATCGCACCTCTTTAAAATAGCTCATAAGTTAAAATAAAAACACTATAGTATTTCTGGGAATAGGCATGTTCAGTAGCGCTGGTATTTTAACAGTATTATTTTTTTCCAAGGCAAACTTATATGATGACTGCACTGTAATGTTCAAGATAAAATGAAGCTGTTTTTCCATCAACTAGGTCATAGTATGAAAAGAGAGTAATTAAGAATCGCATCACTCTGAGATTAGGAACAAGAATATGTATTTCTTTTTTTAAAAAATACCACGATATGGTACGTTATTTGTAGTATGCCGAACACGCCCCAATTAACTATAAGAATAATATACCATGAAAGTGAAAATACCATGGTATCGTATTCGTGGCATGCCGAACAGGACCCTAACCATAACATTATGTTTCATTCCACCCACCCATCAAGCATCCAAATCCCTGTCCTCCGAGATCCCATCCCCGCACATTAATAACAGCTACGATACACTTCTCTCTGTCAGCAACAGGGAAATACCATACCAGCTCCTCCCCTCCTCCCTCCTTTCCTATTCCACCCCCCCTCACTTTGTTTTTTCTCGCAATTCAACACCAACCAACCAATCAATCGATTTATAAAAAAAAAAAAAGATAAATCCATTCACCCATCCAGTAAAGTCATCCGGGAAAACACATCGAACAAATGAAAATCCATAAAGTAAGGTAAGCGTAAGCAGCTAAGAGAAATAATGAGAGAGGGAAGAGAAGCAAAAAAAAAAAAAAAAGCATCACCTCCAACAACGAACCAACCAATCGCAATGATATCCCAAAGAACAAACAAACGCACCCCCAATCTAGAGAAAAAGTGACAAAGGAAAGAAAACAGTGTTTAAAAAGGACCGCAAAAAAAGACTCCATTTTCTACTCCATGCTCCAACTAAAAGATACTCTGCGTTGTGTTCAAATATAAACTTCTTGTTTTAATCGCCCATAAAACCGTTTGGTTACGGGACTGTCTCCGGGCTAACGGCTGACGCAGCACCATCAGGGTGAACCAATACCGATGCGCCGATGGGCGCGGTTCTAACACGGCCACTTAGAGGCAATTGGTATTTTAATACCCCGCGAACGATGAGCTCGAAGGGGTGTTGGAGGACTCGTTCCCAGCGTTCTGTTCCTCCTTCCTCGGTCTTGTTGCCTGGTTTCGCCAGGCGCAACTCGCCAACAGAAATTGAGTGTCTATGGCGTAGGGGAGAGCCGTCGAAGGAGAGGGCTGAATCGAATGAGAAGATTCGACCTAGGAGCATTGTTTGGCGATCCTGCTCTGGGAGATCCTCTGGCGGGTCGGTGCCTTCGTCCACACCGTCAGGTGCAGTAGTAGTTGTCAAAGGGGTAGTAGTGGCTCTGCTTTTGCCGAGTGTGAACTCCATCACCTGGCGACGTCTTGCTTGCTTCTTCCTCCTTTTGCTAAGTAGTCCCCACCAAGGGTCTCCTTCTGGGTCATTATCCCCTGCGCTTCCATCCCCATCCCCATCACCATCCCTCCCATCTTCATCTTTGCCTTTGCCATCGCCCACGTGAGCGCTCTTGGCAAAGAGGTTGACGTCCATGTTACCCACTACCACCGGGATGGCATTGGGGTTGACTGCCGAGACAACGAGATCCAGCATTAGTTCCTGTTTGCTCACCAAAACTCCTGTAATCTCCAAGACTTTGACTTCTTGCAAGGCTTTGGTGGTAGCGAACAAGAACCCTCCCACACCAGTCATAATCAGAAGGACGGCAAACACTGCAATAATACAGCATATATAAGTCCTGAACCATCCACGGCGTTGAAGTTGACTGTGCTCCAATTGACGGAGAGTTCCGCTGCCAGGTCTGCGGCCGTGGCGATGATTCCGGCCCGGCCGATTAATCAGAGGAACCCTCTCATCACCAGCACCTTCCCCATCAGCCTCGTATGACGCCCATCCCCGTGGTAACTTCTTCGAGCCATATCCATTTCCCCCATTCCGTAAACCGGAACCATGACGACCTGATGTCGACTGTCGAGGGGGTAAAGTCGAACCGGGACGCGGAGGATGTGTTGATGATTTGTGTGAAGATGAAAACGGAGACTCCTCCAGAAGCAGACCTCGATTCCCATTCTGACCCCTAGAACTCCCACCCTTTTCCTTCTGTCCAGAACCTGACTGCCCCTCCGACCTTGAACCACCAGCTCCCCCAATTGCTGTTGGTGGCCCTGACCCTCCCGTTCCCGCTCTGTCACCGCTTGCTTCCCCCGTTGTCCCATCACTTGCCACATTGGTATTACCACTCACCGAAGCACTGGCGAATTTCATCCTACCTCTCCTAGTGCTCTGGTTTCCATCCATCGAACTAAGCAGAGGTAATCGCAATCCCTGAGGATCTGGTCCCCCTTGTATCGATGTTGCGCTCGGGGTTCGTGAATGGAATCTGCTGGTAGGTCTCTGCTGCGCTTCAGGGGGATTCGATTCGTAGACAAAGGTTTCCTCGGAATCTGATGAATTTGCCTCGTCAACTGCCTCGGCGACTCTCCTTGCGAACAAGTCCGCTTTGCTCGATGCTACAGGGATATAACATCAGTCAAACAGAATCAAAAAGCAAGGTAGACCTTATCAGCAACTCACGGTTAGCAGGCCCTCCGCCTCCAGTACGTTTCGGTGGTTTCTTCTTCTCCTTCTTAGGTGCTCGTATTGTATCGCTGCTCTTCTTGCTCCTGATACTTGCCCCCCCAGGCACCCCAGCAGCTCCCACAGCGACCTGTGGAACTGAGCTTACTGTTTCCGTTTCCACCGTCATATTCCTCGAAAAGTTATCCCCTCCCATGACTGCAGGTCTTCTGGCAAACCCTTTCAATGGAGGTGGAGCTCTACTATTGTTATTGCTGTTGGCATAAGCTGCTTTCTCCTCGCTCTTGTAGCCTGACTCGGATTCGGATTCCGCTTGCGATCGTGGCGCTATTGAAGACGCTATCGAGCCAGTTCTATACTTCCTTGTCCCTCTAGCACCCGACTTTTCCCCTTCTGGCTCTTCGGGAATTGTATTGTGCTGTTGTCGATTAATCAGGGCTGCCACTTGTTCCGTCAAGGTTTTGCTGGTGTTGATTGCTGGTGTCGTCGGCAAGCTGCTTTCAACAACAGTCTCCAGCGCCGGGCTGTTGTTGCTCCTTGGAGTCCTCATGCCCGATGCCAAACCAGACTCCTCAAGATCCTCCGAGTTTCCTTCCCGTAAGAGATGAACAGACTGGGGAACGCCGGTTAAAGTGCTGTAATTAGTTCGGTCGCCCTTCTTCTGCGGGGAGAGGGCAGGTGATCGAGAGTCTGGGGGAGGAGTCCTCGTTACAGCTAACCGGGTCGATGGAGGCCAATGAGGAGCGTTCGCCAAAGGGCGGTGGGGTCGTGGTTGATGGAGATCTGGCTGAGATTGCAGTTGGGCGTTTCTGGACGAACCAGCCGCAAGCGCGCCCGAGCGTGTAGGGGAGGTTTCTCGTGACGGCGTGGCTGATCTCACGGCATTAGGCTTCCTGTTCTTTTTGAGAGTGGAAGTGGAAGTATTGCTGTCAGAGAGCCCGGCAGATGATGTGTTCCTACGCATGGGTGAAGAGTCCCTAGAATGTTTCTCCGCGTCTGCTAACTCGCTATTGATCCTGTCGTGCGAATGCCCGTCGAGCTCTGCACCACTCCCGCCCCCCTCGCCCCCTCCTAAATCTACACCACCATTGCCCGCAGCAGGAACACCATTACCAGTTCCCGCTACACTTCCAGAGCCTCTATTATTTACCGCTGCCCTCGCGGCCGACATGACCTGTGAGTAAATGAGTTCGGACCCGGGTTTAATCCCTTTCGTGCTCGAAACCGGGGGAGGGCTCCGACCACTCTGAGCCGGTTGTCGAACGCAAGGGAGTGGACGTCAGCGTGGCGGATGCAGGTGGGAGCAGCTCTCGGAATACTAGAATTTATTTGGGACTGGCCGTGCAAAGTGAAGGCCAGCACCAGAGGTTGGATCGGAGAGCGAGGTAGCGTGAGGGTGTCAACTTTGTTGGCAGGAGGTCGAAAATGAGAAAAGGAGGTTGCGTGCTGTCTAATCAAACGTGAGCGCTTTTGTGGTTCGAGCCCTCAAAGGCCCGACGACCAGTTTTCGTTTTCCTCACGTTTTCCCTCTTTTTTTTTGGGGGGGGGGGTGGGTTTTTCCTCAGCCACTCCTCGTTTTCCTTTCTCTTTCAGCCCTCACCTATCTCGGGAGTTAAGTTTCTGGACTCTGTCTCCGGGGAACGTTTCCCTTCCCTTCCCTTCCTTCCTTCTTTTTTTTTTTTCAAAAAAAAAAAAAAAAGGATATCCTCAGGACAATGAGATACTGCGTATTGGAAACTGTCGAGTTGGAGGTGAACAAGTGGACCGATAGATAGGGAAGGGGTGAAGGGGAAAGGAATGTGTGGGGTTTCCTTTCTTTTCTTTTGGTCCCTTCCTGCCTCTTCCGTACAATATCTCTCCTCCCGGGAAAATTGCAGAGATAGAAAGTTTTGTAATAGGCAGCAAGTCGTAATGACAGAACCGATCGAACGGAAGGAGTCGTGTTCTCGAAAACGTTGACACTTCTTTTTACGCTTCCCTTCGTTGGCTCTTAGTGATGGCCTCCGGGAAAATAGCTAATCTCCAACTTCCTGACTACCGGTACTCGTAGGGAGAGGTTGACTTCTGGGGGAGGGGGGGCAATTGATTGGGGACTGGGGTACAGTATGGGCACAAGTATTTTGGTGGCAAGACTGGGGTGAGGTGAGATGGGGGGGGAAACAGTGAAGAAGGGAAATCACCTTCCGGGGGGGACACCGGAGAAATCAACTCGAACAAAAGCTGTGGACCCCAGATTCAAATACTCTGGTGCCCTTTTGCTCATTTTTTCCAGTTCGCCAGGGGTTTTTTTTTTTTTTTAAAAAAAAAGTGTCAGATCTAGATGATGTAGATGAAGGTATTATATCACAGTCGATGCCTGGCACCCCCAATTCCAACCCCGTTTACTCGAGTACATGTACAGTACTGTGCTCGGGCAGCGGACGAGCACAAGTATAATAATATCAAGGAAGCATACAGTATATGATAGCTGCTCTTTTTCTCGAGGAGCACCTGTACCTCTGCCTCAACAAAATCACCAGGATGATATCACGAATGCGCAAGGTTGGTAGTTCCCAGTATCGATATCGGCTACCGAAATTTGTCCCAGGCACGTGATGGCTAAGCTTCCCCCACAAGACCTACACTAGACTAGACTGTTACCAGTATTCAAACATCTCATCCCATCTTACTGTGCAGTACAGAGACCCTTTCACCCCAACCAAGCCCAACCCAAATCTACACCATCAATCGTAGTTTTATCACGAAATCTCCTCCCACTCCGTATTTAACCCTTCTTGAATGCCGAACCTCTTCCCCTCATCTCTTCGCCTACAGATACTCCCTACGAAACGCACTACGATTTCACAAACTACGGTAACCAGTTACCGTAGATACCACATACGCTCCGTACACGCACTGACAACTATGGCCGATGTTTTTTTTCTTTTTTCTTCTTCTTTTTCATCCAAGCTACCTTGCTGGCACTCGCTTCCAGGATGCCTCCTGCGTTGCTGTCCCTCGTTGGACAAGACAATGGTGCATACAGGACGGTACCACTTTGCACCGCTGATGCATTGTTGTCACCTCACTACTCGTACCATACGATACAAGCTTACTCTATATGGATGGTCTATCTCTCTATCACCCTCCTTTTTGCGCCTATCACAATGTCTGTGTGAGGGTGAGAGAGAGAACTGTGAGGAGGAGATGGGCCACCGGCGCTATGACAGGATGAGAGCTCCTTTGGCTCTGCAGTCAACAGATCGGGATTGACTTTGTGTTGAGGATATCCATCGCTCAAAACTCACAGCTAAGGATTACACTAGTTTGACATCGTTTGACATCGATTAACCCCGGAACGAAACGAACGAGTTATCACACTCTTAACATACAAAACATGGTTCTCACTGTGTTATGACGGTAGGAAATTTTCTATTTCGCACCCAGAGTCAAACACTAGCCATCCGGTTGGCACAGAGCAGGTTTGCCCTGCATCCAGTGTCCTTTCGCAAAGTCTATTGGCCAAAATTCAAATATTGCAATACTTTTTCCCTCCTCTACCGAGTATCCCACCAAATCGCACACCCAAAACACCCAAAACTGACCCTCTTATCCACAACTGCCTTTGCTTAATAATACATACAAAGCCTAGCGCCTTGGCACAAATTTGTACGCTTGTTCCCTTGCCCAAAAATGCCCACTTTACTATCCCTAGCCAATTCTCACCTAATCAAAAGACAGAGCCCGCGCTAGTATGATCAAAGAGGAGTCAATTCTGAGGAGTTCTATGGAGATTTTTTCTCAAAATAGTTGGTTGTTGCTGGGGTAGGTCCGCTCTTGATTTCTGGCTGGGGGAGGCCCAGTTTTGGATGCCCGGCACTGTACTCGTATCATAACTACCGTACCGGTAGAGTCGATCCCAGCGAAAGCGCTGGGCAGATGGGTTCGGTTTGGACGGAGGGATGGGAGTTTAAACCAATCAGCCCCCCCCCGGTGGCAAAAATCCATTCCGAACCCATCTAAACCACATGCAAGGTTTGAAGACCCCTCGTGATGAAAGAAACAATGTTTTCCCACCACCCAGGAACCACCAAACTTTTCAAAATACAAAATATAATTATTATGATGATGTACAATACGGTATTCCTCACCGTACCCTACGCTACCGGAACAATCCTCAGACCACCCAACTGTACTAGTACACTTTATCGGTGGGAGACAAACTCTTCTCTCCCTCATTTGCTCGAGCATGGTTCCAGCGGTTCAAAGTGCGCACCAGAAATACCATGACTTTCAAATTCTAAAGGCTTTGCAACCAATAACATAATTTTAAAAAGAAAAGGCCCTCCCAAGTAATGGGGGGGCAAGAATAATGTTTTTTTTTTTTTTTTTTGAAGAGTTGGATGTTTGGTCTCTTCCTGAACGAAGGTTTTGACAAACTTGCAGAATAGGGAGGAAATATCCCTACAACCAAGATAATAATATTATAAAGCTTGCATAAGATTTCCGGGAAGCAATGCTATGGAGGAGGATGTATCCCTTCACCGATGACATGCCAGGAAGGATTGTCGCTCTTAATCGGGTGATACTACGATCGCAATAGGTGATAAATAGGGGTTGTGAGGAATAGATTCCTAGTTACCATAATATATTATTATTGTCGTAATGTTTTTTTTCCCCTCTTTTCACAATGTCATTAAGTTAATTGGGAATTTGAATCACCTTTCTATCAGTAGGTTCACAACATCGCGAAGGCGTGCCAAGCTTTGCATCCTATTATAGTACCAATTGCTGGCGGTTGAAGCATGAGCAGCCCACGAGTAAGTTAGCCGATTTCTGAAATCCGCTAATTTTAGTGGTCATCGATGGTCATCACAATATTTTACTCGTTATTTTCTTTTATCTGAGAGCGGTGAGGCTTGGCAAGATATGATACTAGGTCACAGGTTGAATGATGATGGTACTGTACTCGTAATTTTCTGACGTTTGTAAAAACGACCGGGTCCGCATGATCCCACATAAGCCAAGATATACAGGATAGTTCAATAAGATTGATAGTAACAATGCACAAAAGCTACAATTGTGACCCAGATACCCAGTACCCACAAGTACCTATACTTAGAAATTGCTTCTGTGCTGTACTTGGTGTAATTCAATTGTTTGGTGTTAATTTGTATTTTCTCTTTCAAAAAAGAATATTATTCAAGATACCTTTTATTCCACGAGGGTCAACAACCTCAATGGCAAAGAGAGCTCAAATTGTAGGCTATTCAACTATGAGAGGTCACTTTAAGGTAACATTAATGCAAATTGTAGCCAAAACAGGTGTCCTTCTCAGCACATGTTCCAATATTATCTGGGAGGCAAAACATCGAGCAGTGGAACTAGGAGGAAATCCTGATCTTTGTACTACAGTTAATCTGACTCCTAAGCCTAACAGCCAGAAGGGATGCAATACTGCTCTCACAGCTGAGCAAAAAACATACTTGGTTGAGGTGGAACTCTCTGATAGTGAGCATTGTCGTATGACATTTGGGCAACTTGCCTACACAGGTAGAAGAATACTTTTATACAATTGAGATTTTACTATAGTTAATCTACTATGATATGTACATAAAGCTAATAAATATTAATTAAAAATCTAGCCTGGATATTTGTAGTCTAACAATGAAAAGGGTTCTTACAGAGAACAATATTCATCAGCGAAAGGCAACAGAAAAACCTACTCTCTCTCAGAAGTACAGGGATGTTCGATTAGTATTCAGCTTGCAGTACCGGTACCAGAACTGGGCAGAGATCGTACTCACTGATGAATTGTACTTTGAAATAGATGCTTTATGCTGACAATAGGCTTGTATAGTTTTATGGTGACCTGGTGAGTCCTACCTCTTGCAAAATATAAACCGAAGGTTTGCACAGGGAGCTACTGTAAAGTTCTGGAGAGCTATGGTGTATGGAAAGTCAGGTAAATTAATTCTTTTTATTTAATTTATTTACATGTTTTAATACTAATCTACAATATTTATAGGGATAGAACTTCTATACCATATGTATGTGACTCCATATGAGATGAAAAATCAGAAGGCTACTACTCTTCTCCAGCTCCACCAAGAGTGGGAAGAAGAAAATGCCGAGGTTGAGAGGAATAATCTCATAAACCTTGGTATTGAGAATCAAAGACCTCTACTGGAT